AAAAAACCCCCGTAGGAGCGCGCTTTGTTCTGCGCCATGCGATCGGGCGCTGCGCCTTTAAAGCTGCAGTCCGGCATTGACAGAGCCGATCACATTCCGGGCCCATTTGTAATACTTTTTTTACAATATTTTTTAATGTAACCCCTTGTAAGGAAAAGCTTCTCCCGGACGGCGGATGGAGACAATCGGCGGCTCCCTGCGCACCGTCCGTTCCCCCCTCCCCCGCCCTCAGATGCTGTCCTCCTGCTTGAGGCCATTTTGGGATAAAAGTTGCGCCTTAAATTTTTTTTTGAATTCTCACTAACGAGGTTTCTCCTCTCTACAGTCGCCCCTCGAATTGTGGTCGAGCCGAAGCCTACCGTGACGGATACCGGGTCCGACGCCACGCTGAACTGCATTTGGACCGGGAACCCTCCGCTCACCCTGACGTGGACCAAGAAAGGAACGGATGGGGTGAGTAGACCTTTCAACTGTATCTACCATGGCTTCCATCAAGGTGGTAGCCACCAGAAAAGAGGTCCTTCTATGGTTAAAGACATGGCCGGCCTTCGGTTACATTGTGTTGAGTTGGTATGGTGGCCCCCAATTTTGTTCAATTGTTGAGATTAAAATTGAAACATATCTTGACACCTCCAACGTGAGGGACCTGATCCATAAAGAGTTCTGCACATCATTGGGTGTTGGGGCAACACTTAGATTATTCTAGAGCAGGGGGTAGCAAACCTCCGGCCCTCCAGCTGGGGTGAAACGACAAATCCCATGATGTATCTCTTCGGGAGTCATGTCTGTGGCTGTGAGAATCTTGCAATGCCTCATGGGATTTGTAGGTCCACCACAGCTGGAGGTCCGGAGGTTTGCTACCCCCTTTTCTAGAGGGTAAACCCTATAGAAGTCCAGTTAAAAACATGAAGTCATACATCGGAAAAAAAGATTGGGCGGTATTTAGGCAAACACTAGATCAGGGATAGGCAACCTTGCCTTGGCCATCATGCCTTTGCCTCTAGAAGAGAGTCTTGCAGTTCCTCGTAGGGCTTGCGGGTGCCTAGCCCTTCACTAGGCCACAAGGCTAGCTGCATTCCTTCTATAGTCCCCCCACCCCCAAGGCTTCTGTTACATTGTATATGTCAGAAATGGAACCCATTGCCCAAAAGAGCTCTAATCGTAACATTGAATTCATAGACACTGCTGAGGAAAACTCATATCTCCCACAGAACACATACCGACCCTCAGAAAACCAACTCCAACATAACAGCTGCTGCAGAGGGCCGGCTTGAAATATTAGGTCCTCAAGCAACCGGCAGCCTGAACATGTTCTTCTGTATTGTTTGCATTTATTTTTAATGAGACGCCGTACATCAATTTTCAGCCGCTGCAACAAAACAAAAAAAGGAGGTCAGCATCCAGCCGCATCTTCAATAAAAACCTCGGAGTTTCATTAAGTTCCACAAAGGAGCGATGAGTAAGAGCCGCTTCTTTCTATCTGAAGGGCCCGAGCTGTGCTCACCTTGGACATGGTGAACGCGTCTGGTAGACCCGGCTGAATGATGGCTATGGGGTATACATGTGACGCAAGGCCGGTCCGTGAATCGATGTCTGAGGGGTTTCAGGTGCATTTACAACAGAGTTTTCTATTTATATCTGAGCCATTGGCAGAAGCCTTGGGCCCGGTGGATGTCTAGTCAACCAACAATGGAGGATGTACTTGTACTGTAGGCAGTTGGTATATGACGGACCCATGCCAGCACAGATATGGAAATGGGATGACTTCTCTGTGTCTACTGCAATCCTTATCAACTTCAATCAAAAGAATGGCGTGGGGGGCCAAACCTGCTACCCTGCCTAGGACCCGTAAACTAGACATAGACCCCAATCCTTATCTATTTCAATCAAAGGGATGGGATGCAAACCTGCTACCCTGCCTAGGGCCCGTAAAATAGATGTAGACCCCAATCCTTATCTATTTCAGTCAAAGGGATGCGTTCGGGGGCCAAACCTGCTACCCTGCCTATGGCTCCTAAAGTAGACATAGACCCCCAAGCCTTATCTATTTAAGTCAAAGGGATAGGGTGGGGGCCAAACTTGCTACCATGCCTATGGCTCCTAAAGTAGACATAGACTCCAATCCTTATCTATTTCAATGAAAGGAATGGGGTGGGGAGGGGGGGGGGACCCAGCGTAGATGTAGACCCCATTCCTTATTAACTTCAATCAAAGGAATGGTGTGGTGGGCCAAACCTGCTACTACGCCTAAGGCTCCTAAAGTAGATTTAGACCCCAATCCTTATTTATTTTAGTCAAAGGGATGGGGTGTGAGGCCAAAACCTGCTACTGTGCCTAGAACCTGGTAGATATCTGTTCATCCAACAATGGAGGATGTACTTGTAGGCAGTTGCTATATGATGGATTCATAGCAGCACAGACAATGGAAATGGGATGACTTCTGTGTGCCTACTGCAATCCTTATCAACTTCAATCAAAGGAATTAGGTGGGGGTAAACCTGCTTCCCTGCCTATGACCCCTAGAGTAGATGTAGACCCCAATCCTTATTAACTTCAATCAAAGGAAGGGGTGGCGGGCCAAATGTGGTACTATGCCTAGGGCCCTTAAAAAAAGACGTAGACCCCCAATCCTTATTAACTTCAATAGGGTGGTGGGCCAAATGTTCTACTATGACTAGGGACCCTAGCGTAGATGAAGACCCCAATCCTTAATAACTTCAATCAAAGGGATGGGGTGGGGGCCAAACCTGCTACTGTGCCTAGGGCCTGGTAGATGTCCGGTCATCCAACAATGGAGGAAGTACTGTAGGCAGTTGGTATATGATGGATCCATGCCAACACATACAATGGAAATGGGATGACTTCTGTAAGCCTACTGCAATCCTTATCAACTTCAATCAAAGGAATTGGGTGGGGGTCAACTTGCTACCCTGCCTAGGTCCCCTAGAGTAGATGTAGACCCCAATACTTATCAACTTCAATAGGGTGGTGGGCCAAATGCGCTTCTATGCCTAGGGACCCTAGCGTAAATGTAGACCCCCAATCCTTGTCCGGTCATCCAACAATGGAGGATGTACTGTAGGCAGTTGGTATATGATGGATCCATGCCAGTACCATGGAGTTGGGATGACTTTGCCGTCTCTGGTTGCCATACATTGGTTCGGTTGGAAGTTGACTCTCTTTCGCTCTCTGTCTGCAGGTGTTGAGTAACAGCAACCAGCTCTTTCTGAAGTCCGTACGTCAGGAGGATGCCGGGCAGTACGTGTGCAAAGCCATCGTCCCGCGTATCGGCGTGGGAGAGAGGGAGGTGACGCTGTTCGTCAATGGTGAGCTACACTGAGTTCTTCTAGTTCTTCTAGTCTTAGGAATAGAGTTCAGATCTATGAATGAGGGTCAGCAGGGAGCTGAAATTCACTAGTTTGATATCTTGGGTTATCTTGCTTCTACGTTGTCTCTGGAACCAATGGCAAGGAATCCCCCGCCCCGTTACCCCTCCCCCATTCTTGGCTTTGCTGCTTTTGTTTTCTTGGGCAAGTGGCAGCAACGTCCAATCACAGAGGGTTAAAAAAAAACCCGCCAGCAGGGTTGTCTGACAATTGCTCCAAGGGGATCGCTATCAAGGGAAGACTTGCCTCCGCTTCCAGGGACAACTTAACCGGAAGCAGCTGGCTAGACTTTGTACCCGGGAGAATGTAAATCACGTTTAGCGTTGCCGCCGTCTCCGATACCTAACAAACTCGCCGCCGTCTCTCTCTCTCTCTCTCCGGGATTTATTAATCAATATACATTTTACTGACTTGCCGTTTAAAGGATTATGAATGGGTGAATAAAATCTACTTTACGGCCCTGATATTTTTTTTATGGCTTTTTTTTTACCCTTCATAATATATGAGCTCTCGTGACCGCGCGGTGCGGCGTGGAGATATATATATATGGCGGCTCACATTTATCCCTTTTAGCTTCGTAAAACAAAGAGCTGGGTCACGGCTTAAAGGGGCAGGCCGCCTTTTTTTTTAAATTGAATTTCCATTGTTTCATAAATGTATCTTTACATTAAAAAAAGTCCACATTTTAAAGCCGAGATACACATATGTGAATGTTCTGCCAAGTGAATGTTCTGCCAAAGGGTTTGTGATTTTTGCCAACAGGAGGGGAACACCCCTAAAGTGTCACCTCCCCGCCCACAGCCTACTGATTGGGTAACAGCAGCACACTGAGAGGTCGTCAACTTGGGGAGTGTTGATGCATTAATTTCCCCTCTCTCCATAAAATGGGGGGGGGTAATAGCTGGCACCAATGTACCTGATACATTGAGTCCACCATTGGAGGTTATCAACTTACAAGATTTCTGGCGGGATCAATGGGTATTACAGGAGGGGGGGGGGGCAGCTGGCACCAATCTAATTGATACATTGAGTCCACCATTGAGAGTTATCAACTCACAAGATTTCTGGCAGGATCAATGGGTATCACGGGAGGGTATAGCTGGCACCAATGTAACTGATACATTTAGTCCACCATTGGAGGTTATCAACTCACAAGACACATCTCTTCTATGACCACCATGAATGGAGTCTGTAGACACGTCTCTTTTATGACCACCATGAATGGAGTCTGTAGACACGTCTCTGCTATGACCACCATGAATGGTGACTGTAGACACGTCTCTTTTATGACCACCATGAATGGAGTCTGTAGACACGTCTCTGCTATGACCACCATGAATGGAGACTGTAGACACGTCTCTTCCATGACCACCATGAATGGAGTCTGTAGACACGTCTCTGGTATGACCACCGTGAATGGAGACTGTAGACACGTCTCTGCAATGACCACCATGAATGGAGACTGTAGACACGTCTCTTCTATGACCACCATGAATGGAGTCTGTAGACATGTCTCTTCTATGACCACCATGAATGGTGACTGTAGACACGTCTCTTCTATGACCACCATGAATGGAGTCTGTAGCTGTGTCTCTTCTATGACCACTATGAATGGAGTCTGTAGACACGTCTCTTCTATGACCACCAAGAATGGAGTCTGTAGACACGTCTCTTCTATGACCACCATGGGTGGAGACTGCAGACACGTCTCTGGTATGACCACCATGAATGGAGACTGTAGACACGTCTCTGGTATGACCACCATGAATGGAGACACGTCTCTGGTATGACCACCGTGAATGGAGACACCTCTCTGGTATGACCACCATGAATGGAGACTGTAGACACGTCTCTGATATGACCACCACGGATGGAGACGTTGACCTCCTTGTGCGCTTAGATGAAGTCAAAAAGAGGAAAAGCCAAAAAAAAAACCTAAACAATGATCTACAACCTCATTGTGTACAGTGACAGTTCATATTCTTCGGTCTGGAACACACGGCTCATTAATTGCCGGGAAGACAAGTTCCCAAATTTGCCCGTTCCTTTTTTTTTTCCGTTCCCCCTTCGTTGACCTCTCTCCGGAAGCGCCGGTTGAGGAGCCCCGTCATATATCAGCCTAATGCGCGCTCCGCTTCAGAAATGGCAAATTATCCGCCGCCGTAAAAAAAACTGAGCAGATTGGGGCGATAAAACAGAGAAAGGCATAAAACAAACAACGCCGATTATGGAGACTGCGGACGGAGCGCGTTAATTCCTCCTGATGAGATAATGGGCAGAAAACGATGTGGTGATCCGCTTCATAAAGGCGCCACTGTCTGTCAGGGG